CCTACAATTCATCGTCAACCTAAATATTGCGATTTCGCTTCTGTGAATTATTTCGTAATATTGCCACTCGCAATAAATGTCTTTATATTATTGCGTTAGACACTTCTCTATAAGGTTACGCAAGTTGTATTTTATTTCATGCATTAATGTTATATGGATAAAAATAACTATGCGGGTTCTCTGTTCAATTTGCCGCATGTATAAATAACTTAATTTGCAGTCCGTTTTTGACACAATTTTGTCAATGTATTTCCTTATTTCATGTTTACTCTAGCTTTTCTGCATTTTTTGACGTATTATCATGATGTAATTCTATATCTCCGTGAATTGTACAGTAAAGTTTAACTTATTTCCCAAACGAGATAAAAACTTAAACAAAGCGTAGCAATGTACATATACATATCGATCTTTGCTGAATAATTTAGTGATAAAAACCTACGCGCAAGCGAATCTCCAACCGCGTCCGGCTTAAAGATAAATGGTTATTATAGCTGTTCAGGCGTGTTAGAGAATAAGATAATATCTACATTGATATTTCTGTAGAATTCATTCAAATTTTAGAAATTTGAAGAAGAAGATAATATCGGGTAATGGGGCGGGCGGGGGGAGGTCCTCGTAGGTGTAGACAAAATTGCATAGCGCATTATTCATAAAAGATATTTGTATGAGATAAATGGTGGAAGAAGCTATTAATATAAAGAAGATATAATCTTCATCACAGGAATGTATAACAGCTGTGTCTATATTTTATCTGTTTGTATATGCCATGGTTCAACTATGTTATTAAAATTATTGATATTATATACATACAGGATATACAATATTTCAGTAAAGATTCTTCCAAGGTCTTGAAATTGTCTCATTCGAGTGACTGGAAGTTTTAGGGTTTTAATTTATTTTAATTGTGGATTTAGCAGATTCTTGTTGATATGCTATTTTAATTTATTGTACGTTTCTTAGTTCGCGCAAAATTTCATTGTGGCGGTACTAGTTGGAATGTCGGGTGTGTGAGGGGACGATTCAGTTCACCACGCAGCGGATTCTCACGATTCTGAATGACTTCGGTACAATAACGAGTGACCAGTCCGAGGAGATAAAGAGACATATAAAAACGCCGATCCACCGACTACCGAGCAATACCGTTTCGTCTTCTCCCCCCATTGTGCCGAAAATCTTCTTTCACGTTTTCCGCAACGAATACGTCCTCTGTCCGGGCGTCGAAATCGCTCACCGGGCGTTCTGTCTACCGGGTGACTTCAACGACATCGGCAAATATAACTCGTTTGCGTGTAAATTATATAAATTACCGTTGAGTATATTATTACATTGGTCACAATCTAATATAAAAATTTATTAATATAGGCAGAAAAATATTATTTGCACAAGAGTAATAAATATAATCTCTGTGAGAAATATTATCTAAATTATCACATAAATAAATATATTGTCATAATTAATAGTGTGTCTGGAATCATTCGTATTATTAGTAATTTACAATGTGTTAGGTCTCTTTCCTAATATTTTCCATAATCGACCAAGAAGTTGTATACATTCTCGGTCAATTATGTGAAACAAATTGATCACGAATCTAATGATTTTCTCGATAAATACGTTCGAAAGACGCGCCTCAAAATTTAGCCAGGAAGATATTAACGTTTCGCGATATTACGGAAAGTGAAGCCGGAATAGAGGAGCGTACACGCATGGTAGGTACACGCATGGTAGATTACGCATAGTCATCGATTAACTGAAATGCCGTAACGTAACGTCTATTTTGCAACGAAATTATGTCGAATAGCTGTGCAGTTTCAGGCTCTCGGATTACACGGCGCCCAGAGTCATGCTGATGGGTGCTTTTCCACGTGGGTCTCTTACATTACTATCGGTTTCACGCTCGATGTAATCATCCGTTACACATCGCTCGGTCTTCTCTCTGATCGCTACATGAACCGGTTTACACACCACGAAATTTTGTACTAGCTAATTGCACGTTGTGCTCTTGGCGGAATCACGTTGCATTCGTCATCTACCTCCCGTGGAGTTCTATTGATCTGATTTGTTCTGATTGCGAGAATGTTGGACTAAAATTCTACAGTAATTTCTTCCCAAGTGTTTCTTTCATGTAGATATATATTATAATGTTTTAAGCAAGACTATATTATTATTTTATTTATTGCAAATGTAATGTTTAAAAGTATTCCTATCAACTCTGATTTGTTTTCTATATCATTAAATATATTATTAAACAAGAAAAGCGTATTTTTTAAAATAACTTTTTTTTAAACGCGCGGCGTAATATGTTAAAAAATGGCAAGCAGCGATATAATGTAAGATTGATATATATATAAAATTATATGATTTTTTCATCGTGTTAAATCTTTTCAGGATATCCTATACGATTAACAATAATTACGACCAATGTCTCAAGTCACCGTAGATGATTTAGTGTAATTTAATATTCTGTACAAATTCTGTAAAAAGAAATTCGAATCTGGAATGTTTTTCGCTCCAATAAGCACGAACAATATATGCCAAGTCCGTAACGGTCAAAGTCCGTGCGATCAAAGATAAAAATCCTGTCATCGGTGCTTTGTTAGGAAAGAACTAATGATCTCTAAATCTTTTCTCATTTCTATTATTCTAATTATTGTCTTTTCTATTATTGTCTTTTCCCTACCTATAATGTTAATACTGCGATAGAGTATCGAGAATAGATTAATTAGAAATGTTATCTTTCGCAGCCTGTTTTAGTACAAGTAAATATGACCGTCTGAGTTTAATTTGTTTAATATTGAAAATAGTGTTTTTATTGTCAACATAAATTAAAAATCAAGCATGCAGTTGCACGTTAAGAGAGAATATAATAATAAATCAGTGTCTTGTACACACTAAAGATCTGTAATTAAATAATTAAATCATCGTATATCATTTCCTCATCTATTAAAAATAATACAAGCAAAGTGTTCATTCATTAATCTAATTGAAGATCGGTAATATGACTCGAGAACACGAATTTCAGATTGACAACTGCAATTGCGGATGAATGTGTAATTAGTCAGAGCGATTGATGATCGGGATCGAGCTGGATAATATAGTTTTGGCGTTGAATAGACGTGCAATGTGCCGCACACGGATATACGATATACGAGATTAATTTCATCCCGAGACGAGTATTTATGCCACGGAACAACCGGCAGGTCAGCGATTGGCGTTTAAAGCCACTCGTCTGGTGTTCCCACGCATTGTGGCTGGCACGAGAGGTTGGAATTAGGCTCCGTAGAGCCTTACCTAAGAGCGATAGAAGTTGCCCCAGATGTGGAGCGATATTAGGCTATTTCTCCGGAATGTCGTCGCCATCCGCTACGTTAGCAAAACACACCCACATTCGTTAGCATTGGAACGGCCGAGAGTTGATGACTCCATAGGACAATAGTGTCCTATTTCGTGAATGAAACAGTAGAAGCGAGAGAGGACGAACCAATCTGCAGTCAATGGAAAACTTGGAAATCAATTGACAATCCGCATCGTAAGTATCGAAATATATAAAAACAACGGTTAATTAACGGTTAATTAACACACATTTTTCAATTACCATTATTTCTAATTTTTTTCTAAAATTGAGCCTTAGAAAGAGAATTTCACAGTTTAATAAATATAAAACTATATTCTTCGTGTGTTAATTTAAATAAATATGTTTCCAAAATATTATATTAATAAATGTTTAAATTTAAAAAGATTTTTTTAAAACAATTTTTAATACTGTTCTAGAAAACTGAAAAAAAATTACCTTCTTTGTAGAAAAATTAAACATTCTGCCGAATGTTAAATCGTAAAATTACTCGTCTACGCGGAAAAGAGGAAGGGGGTTAATCTGGGTCAAAAGTAGGCGAAGTGCGGTTGTAATTTTCGCGTTACACGTGTTTTACGATTCACCACAAATAGACGGTCGATGAAATAGCGTATAAGTTTGCTCCATAGGAGCTAGAGTGACTTCCATAGAAATTTATCATCCTCGGAGTGCGTGCTTTTGGTAGCGACAACTGATTTTTCGCGCTTATGAATCATCGCGCCAGATGGTAGGAAGTAGAATGAGGGAACGTAAATTGATAAAGGCTATTCAAACTATCTAATAATACTTTAAGAGTAATGAATGGGATGCGGAGAAAAATAACGAGATGCCAAGAAAGAAACCAATATCAAGAAATTAAAAAAAAATTCTTTAGCTTGTTATTTAAATTTATTTCCGAGATTGTTGACTTTGATGTCAGAATCCCGAAATCCAAAATGGCGGTTCCAAACATGGCCGACGAAAATGCAGAAAGCAGTTGGAGGCGGATAGCGATTTTGTTTCGGAGATTAATAACAGCGAAAAAGACAATTGATTTTAGGGAGATATGGCTATCAAAATCGTTATTTCTAAAGAAACTTTCTTTCGATAAGAATATATCATTCGATTTCCGTTGAAGCTGTATCGTGATCGCGCGTATCACGACGGCCGACAGCTGATTTCCACAAGAGATGATTATCGCGAATGTATTACGTAATCACAACCCACATTCCCGGCTTCGTCTCAATTATGACTACGGCCGCAATACTGACGGCACTGAAGACAACGGTAATTCGATCGACGCGTAAAAATGTGCCTCGTCGAGATTCGTCCCGACGTGATCTTTTTAGTGCGCGCTCAACTTCCGGTTCTCCAATTCGCATGGACTTCGAACTTCGACGTTTCCGTCTCGATCCCACCATCGAGCTCACCGCGCGCGCCGTCCACCTGACTCGATCGTCATCAGCGATCTAAGAGGGCCGTGCCCTCTTAACATTTGCGATGATCGACGCGACGTTATCATGCATTCCCCGTGTCAGACCATCGCTTGATCGTAACTCCTATATCAACCCCGCGAGGACAAAAGCGAGCGTCTCGCCGAAAGGGTTCCACGTTCGCACGGGCACGAATTCGCGGTGGTGCGCGATACATTCCAAGGACGTTTCGCACTCACCACAGCCTCGGCGATCGGTATCCACGTGGCGGCGTGCACCAGTAGGGCAAGGACGCAGGTGATTCGCAGGACGAGCGGGACCGGCCGCGAGATGCCGCGGCTCGCGTCGCCGATGATTCCTGACGTCGCCGCGGCCCTGGGCCGCATCGTGCCGGCCTGGGGTCCTCCTCCTCCACCACCTCCTCCTCCTCCGCCTCTTCTTTACCTTTCGACCAAACCTGGGATCCTGGCGGTCCTGGCGGACGGTCCCAAGGGTGCCTTCACCTCCGATCCTTCCTTCGTTCGCTTCTCGCGGTGCCCCAAGAGCGCGGTGCCCCAGAGTTCTCGTCTGTCTCGATAGCGACGACGTGCGGCTCGGCAGTATCGGCGCTGCAGAAACCGCGCGCCGCTAAAGCTCGTCGTCGGCCAGCCTGTCGACGCACCGCGTGTCGAAGGGCCAGACAGACGGCCCGGTTAGCACGTCCTCCTGATCGCTACACACAGACGGGCGGACACAAGGCAGACCCGAAGGCGGTGGAGGAGGTGCTCGCTCTCTCTCTTCTCTTCCTCTTTTCTCCTCGTCTCTGTCCCTCCCACCCTCTCCCTCTATCTCTCTCTTTTTCTCCTTCCGTCGCTGTCTTTACTTGCTCCGGGGTCTCTCTCTTTCTCTCTCTCTCTCTCTCTCTCTTTTCCTCTCGCTCTTTCGCGCGCGCTGTATCCTTGCGCGCTCTCGTCGGCGTGCTCTCGCGGCACGCTCACGGCGGTGGCGCGGCCTCCCTGACACACACGGGCCCCGCTCGGCTCCCCGCACGGCACGGCTAAGTTCCGTAAGCTCGGGCTGGCTCGGGCTGGCAGCTCGGAACCGGCACGACCGATACCGGTAGGGTCCCTCGCGGCCGCGCAACAGTCCTCGTGCGACGCGCGACCGCGCGAGCGAACGCTCGGCTCGGAGCCGGCCAGCGGTACTCCACCGCCTCCTCCTACTCCTCTCTTGGTCCTCTTTTCCTCCTCCTCCTCCTCCTTCTTCTTTTCTCTCTTCAGTTGTTTCTTCTTCCCCTACCAACCCTGGAGAGACGAACACTCCGTGTTCGTTCGTTCCTTCCTCCCCTTCCTCTTGCGCACTCCCTCGCTCGCCTCCTTGCCCGCTTCTTCCTCTTCTTCTTCTTCTTCTTCCCGTCTCGCGGACCCGGAGTTGAACCGGAGGCAGCCAGGCAGGAGACCGCGATCGCCCTCTTCCTCGCAGGAGCGAGAGAAGAAGACAGGGAGAGAGGGGGCGGAGGGGCGATCCCCCGTCAACGTCGGGGAAAACGAGCGAGCCGAAGCGAGTGAGCGCGCGCGACGTCGCCCGTCGCGGAAGGCCCGAGAGAAGGCACTCTCTTCTCGGCCCCGGTCCTTTCGGCGGAGGAATTCTAGCTGGCGTGGCTCGGCGCGACCGCCGCCTCCACCTTCCTTCCTTCCCTCCACCCGGAGTCCATTCAGAGACCTCCCTGGATGGGACGGTCCGCATACACCATCGGTCTGCTCGGTGCCCGGTTCTGCGCGATATTTTGTGACTGCCTGTCTGTGCGGTGCTCGGTGCTTTCGGCCTGGTGCTTCTCGGCTCCCTAGACCCATCGAGGAATAGGGAGGTCGACATGACCCGGTTGGGATTGCGGTGAGTTTCCTCCTTGATCTCATTTTCTCTCCCCAAAATTCCGTCGCGTTACTCCGATTCCTTCCCTCGACCCGATTTCTGTATACGTGCCGCCGCGCCGCTTCCTCTTCGTCCTCTCATTACCTCTTCTTCCTCTTCCTCGTTCTTCTTTCTTTCTTCGTTCGCTTGGTGTTTCCCTCGCGATTCGTTTTTGCTTTTTGGCCCGCCGCCGAAACGGGCCGCGACCGCGCCGATCTCGCTCTGTTCCCACGGAGGGGATAGTTTCACCCCTGTTGCGCGCGAGCTTCCGCGGAAAGGTGAGAGGACCCCCCCAAGGACGACCGCGAGAGGTGAACCCGCAGGCGCGCGAGAGATCGTCCTCTCGGTGCAGCTTCTGATGCCGTCGCGAATCGTGCGCCCGCCGTACCTTCCGTGTTTCTTCATTTTGCTCGCGCGAGTTTTTTTTTCTTTTTATTTCTGTGTGTCAAGTTTCTTTACCTCCGCGGTAATGAATATTTACTTCGCTTCCTGTCTCAATGCCGTTGAATCTCCGCGAGATAGAGTGGCTCCTTACGAAATCGTTCACTTTGCACTTTGACTTCTCTACATATTTGCGCGAATTTAACATCAGTTCTACTCAAAAGATATGCGGAATGTGTATTTTTTTTAAAGTAACATTGCAAAAATGTAACTTAAAAAATTGTTAGAATTTATTTTCGAAAGAATCAAACGTGACGTTGACGCGAATTTTTTTTTTAATAAAGATCTTTTTTCTATAATTTATTTTTGCGGCTTTTCCATTCCTCTTTATTACTCCGCCTATTTCCTTCGCGTGATCCAATGCGCATCTACACAATTTATCGAAATAATATCCCGGCGCAATTCTGCTTTCAGATTCGTCGCATCCGCAGTTTTCCTGGCCGGGATTGTTAATGGGGTACGTAAAAATTCCTGGTTCACTTTCATTAACTCGCGAGTGTGAATTATCAAACGCCGTTGTTCATTGATACAACAGTATTTTTTCTCGTACTCTTTTCACGCTTGTCTATCTTCCCCGAGTAGGAAAAATAATGTAACTTTTATATCTTAAGTTTAAAAAATATTTTCAAAGTGCTGCGCCCGCCTGATTCTTCGCGCTCTGGTGCGGTTTTAATTACATCGTCGAAATCACCGGTAACCATTGTCGAAATCACTCTTGCGCGATCGCGAGGAAGAATCGTCGCGCCATCGAAGCCAAGAGTCGCGAACGTAGTTTGGGCACGTTGTTTTCACGTCGATATACGCGTGTACCTGGCGATCTTGCAGGTACGTGCTCGCGCGACCGGTTCGACTTGTTGCTCGCGGATTATTTCGTTGGTCCATTCATCAGCGCGATTGCACGCGTGTGTATCTCGCGTCTCCGCTCGATGCACGCGCTTCCGACGTGGACGCGCGTAGCTGGTACATTTGTTGCGGCATGGCACGTGCACCCAAGTTACGGCCGCGCTCGCGTTACGATTTGTTGTTCGCTGAGAGAAAAGCTAATTCCGAGGGATCGAAAAGGGATCGCATTTCAGTCTATCGGATCGTAACTCGCTGTGGTTGGAAGCGCGTGCGTAGTTTGAGAACGTCGAACCTACAAAGAGTGAAGAGATATTTTATCACAATCGTCGTACGCGCGCACCCACGCACGTTCTCTTTTTTTCCCCCGATAGAGAGATATTTATAAAAAATTCTCACGTCCTGCGGACGATGCGTGAAGTAACGAAGGATGAGCTACGGTGATCAAACTTTAATTTAGTTATCTTTGCGCTATAATTGAAGTCGTAAGCTTTTCTGTGTGTGCACGTGTGTGTATGTGCATCTTTTGTTACTTCATTTGACAATTTCGAGATCTCTTACATGCGTACGGATTCGGATACGAAAACGAATTTACTTTACGCATTTTGCATTTCGCTCGTACGTGAAATGTCATATAAAAGCGAGAAGCGGAGAGGGGGGAGGCTCGTGTAAGTGGCGGGGTCTGTATTTTAAGCGTGTTACTACTCGGCGATAAGAGTCATTTTATGGAAAATTACCAAGGCGTGCGACAAATATAGCGGTGATTGTGGAGGACGTAATAAAAGTGACCAGGATTTTGCTAACTCGGGCTGCGCTAATTGGTTTCTTGCACATCGCGCTTATAGAGATGACGAAATTCGCGAAGACGAAACAAACGACATCGATTAGATTCGTTTATCTGTTATTCGATAATGCAATCTAATATCTAACTGTTTGATATAGATTATGGATATAACAGACATATAATAACAGATACAATAATTTTTTTTTTAAATAAATTTGTATCAATATTTTTTATCAATCTGCTCCGAGGATATTATTTATATCAGATCGAAAATATTATTAGAACTATTAAAATCAAGATATATCAGCATAGACGACACTCATAGTTTACTGAATGAGACGCAAGCAGCGCGTGGAATAATTCGTTAACATTTTTATAGAAATACTAAAATTTTCTAAGACTCCAGTTATCTTAAAATTTTTTTAAATCATTAAATAATAATAATAATATCTTTATTGCAATCTCAAGGTAAGGCAACAACAATTTGTTGTTACGAAGCCTTCCTGTATACAGTTGTTAGAAGATGTACATTGTTTAAACGCTGAATAAAAATGAATTATTCAAAATTATTGTAATATAATTAATTGCTCACGCTACCTCGTGTGATTTACATAAGTCACTTATTCGCTTTCGCTGTTGGCAATGGTAACGCCCGACCACCAGAATCCTCCTCTGTCATATCTATTCGCGCCGCCCTTTCGCAACCTTTCTTCGACCCAGTTCCTCGGAACGCTCGACCGCAGCTAAATAACACAGTAGGAAGCATCAGGGGGTTCTGTTCATAAAGTGACGTCAACAGGGTGTCTCTGCATGCTGTCTACGTGATGTTTACACGAATTTATAATAAACTGTGGACTAATAAATAGTTTTATGATAATACACGCGATCCATAAAAATCGTAAGTGATGTGAAACGATGTAAACGAATTTTTGCTCATTCCAACGGCTTTCTATTAAACATACGAGAAGCTATTCAAACATTCCACAGGATACCTAGAAGCGGTAACAGACATTCTAATCTGTCGAGATGAATCTCTCGTAAACCTAGATAATGCGGATCGTTCCAAAGATAGATTAATCAATAAAGATCCGCGATGCACGACTCACTATCGCACTCCGGGAGTCCGGGAGATCCCCCGCTATCTCGTTACGGGCCCTCCGCGATTCTTTTACACCTCCTCGGGCAGCGGCGGGAGAGAACGGGAAGGTGTTTAGATCCGAAATAGGGCAGTCGTCTCTTACTGACCAGTCCGCCTACGGCGCCGTAACTGCGCTCGCGCTCGCTCGCTGTAATTTTATTACCACCGCCCCACGTACGCGCACGTGTGTACACGCACCGTGCACGCGAGCCAGCTTAGTCACTACTGGAAATAGTCGGCGCAATTGAGCGCGCTCGGGGGAGACTTGATTTCCCCGAGACTCGGCAGACTCGTCGTCGGTGGCCCCGCGGGGGCGCACCGGGATAAAACGGCATCTGTTTCCCTCGTCCAGAGCACCTGTTTTTCCCCCGCGTTCCCCGTTTCCATTACTCGCGCGCGGCGATTTCTCTTTCGCTCGAAAATTTCTCGCGTGGTAAAACACACACGGGGGTGGGAGAAGGGGGAGATTTCCCGTTGCGCAAAACACGAATCTCGCTGATCGATTTTGTCGTATGTAGGCGTAGCCATGCAGTGTGCGACACGGTGGAATTAGCGATTGCATTGTGAAGTCGGAGCACGGCGAATATTTGAGATTTGGCTTTCGATAAATTAAATTACGAATTACGAGAACAAGAAATATCTAATTGCTATTGACGTTAATATTGAAAATTATAAACTATATGTTTGTAATTTTCGTCTTTTTATTTTTCTTTCTTAAAAAGTTTAATCGATATTAATATGCAATTTCCGGAGAAAAGGTTCCGAGAAAGAGATTCATTAAAGATTCAGCGAAGATTAACAGGAAGTTTGGGACTTTTTATCACAAAGTATTACATAAGAATCACGATCAACATTTTACTACTTATAAAGTCAACAGGTCCGGTATCGGCAACTTCGACTTGTTGTTAATTAATTAAATTGCAAATTTCTTCGCGTCCCTCTATACGCCGTCCCCGATAAAATTCCCGCTTGCTTCAACGAGGCAGATTAAAATCGGCGGACGCATCGGAATCCCGTCATCCGACCGCGCCGCCGCCGCGCATTTATGCTCATGAATACGCGTGGTGCCGTGGTGCCGCCTCGGGATCAGAAAAAATCTCGAGTAACGAATTAGCGTATACCCCGTCCCACGTAGAGTTAACGTCAGCGTCGGCCGCGGTCGTTAAGCACGCCGGACTTGAATGTGACGGCGAAAGATGAAAAAGAGAGCGGGCGGGCGGACGGGCGGACCGAGACACGCGGTACAGAAAAAGAAGAAGAAGAAGAAGAATCGGGACGAGAAGAAGAGACGACGAAGAAGAAGGTCGTCGGTGAGGGGAGGGTGGGGGACAGAAGGAGGGACACGCAGTCATCGCGGTCGGTCACAATGTACTCCGCGGTTGCGTAATCGCGGATTCACGAAGGCGGCCGGCCGAGATAGGCGATAAAAGGGACAATTCTTGAACCGTCACGAAAAGATATCTCGTATCTAAAATAAGAGAATTGGGTTAAGCGTTTCATTAAACGAAATTGCTGGCGAGAGCGTCATGGAGCATCGTTCCTCGCACGAGCGAATTTCAATCAGCTGGTCTCGCATAGGGTCGTTTGCTTCTTCAGTCAACGGTTTCTCGACTGGCCGTCCTGTCCGTCGTCAGCCGTCGATGTAATGGTTGCAAATCGATCAGTATCGGAGCCTTGATTTCGCTCGAGGGACGTTAACCCGACCTCCTGGTCATCGAGTTGCGTCATGCGTTGCGAAGTTAATGTGCGTGATTTTCGACTTGGACCGCTTTTTCACGGCAAGTGGGATCCTTCGGTTAAACGCGAAAATATGCTGTTACGTTTTTTAAATTCCGAACGCAAAAGAAAGTTTCTTTTTGATAATAAAGGTATTGACTTTCTTTTAATACAAAATGTTCTAGCAATCGCGTGGTTTCGATGAATTCGAAACCGAATTTCTTTATTTAAGGAAAATCTACTTTCTCTCTTCATTGTTTTTTAATTCTTAATATATATCTATTAAATTAATATTTATTAATTTTCAATATTGTACGTCTCTCGATTTATTATTGTATTTACAATCTTTTTATAATTTTTCTAACATCCTTTTTATAATTTATTTGGAATTTAGAACGTTTTTAGAGCAATGAATTGAATTCCAATTAAAGATAATTAACTAAACAAATTATTGTACGTATATATAAAATCTTATCAAAAAATTGTAAAGCATGTTCCATCCGTTTGCTCCGGCGCTTTTCACACATACTTCACAATATAAAGGGCTAGTCGCGCGCGATTCATATCCTGCAAGATTGAAAGTGCTAAGCGGCCCTCTAATCCGCACATCATCCGGCATCAGCTCCGATCTGGACGAGTTATCATCTGCATAACTCGTGAATCGTGTAGCGCTGGGCAGGATAATTTCACGGTTTGCAGATTCGCAGCGTGATGCGCCGCGTTCTATCTATAGTGCGGCCGATCCATTGTCCGACGATGGGTTTATCATTGAGACGAAACCTCCACCCTCTCGTCGCTTTCCTACAGTTTACCGGCCGACACGAGTAATTTCCGCGCGCGGTTTCGATTTCTGCTTCCCCTTTTGCACGATCTGTGCGAGCGTAATGACATATGAGCCTGCAATAAGTCGAAATTGATTGTATTGATAGAGAGAGAGAAAGACAAAGAGAGAGAAGGGAGGAAGGAGGGAGGGAGGGGGAGGGGGAGAGGGAGAGAGAATACGATTGTATACGCTTTGACGCGATGTACAAGGCGAACCTCTATATCATCGGACTTGGATGGATCAAATTCAATTGAATAGATATTAGATCCAGGATTAATATTCAATGAATAGATTAGTCTATGATAATTTGACAGGAATAATCTTAATTTGCGACGCTTTACAATAAGAAAATGTTTAAGCACGATTTCTTTTACGAGAATGGAATCGACTCGTTTTCATCCCTGATTTTTTTCAAATTACAGATTTTTCTCCTCTTTCTTCTTCTTAAATATTCTCTTTGATTTTCGGCTTTTCTTAAATAAGAAATTCGAGGATAATAAATAATGTTCCACTTTGAAGTTCTACTTTTCTGATATAAGCGCAGGATTTATTTTGTACCACGACATCTAAAGTCAAAAATAAATCTCGAGTCTGGGAATAAAAGGCAAACGGAGTGATTATTAACTGCAATCCCTGTCACACGAGGTTTTTGCCGTTTTTGGTTGCTGTACGATTCGATAAAAAATTTCAGCTCGCGCTCGCGATTCATCATTCGATTTGGGCTTTAGTGATCTGTCGCGTCTACGCGACACGTCGGTCGTTCTTCCGAGAGTCATCTCACGGTTGCGCGTAGATGAATGAAATTTTAAAGACACTATCGTCGTTTTCTCTCTATCGCCGTACGTGGTGCATGTGCGGCACAGACGCGCGCAGCCACTCCGAGGGCGGTACGTCATCTCGGAACGATAACCGACTATCTCCCTGCGCTTCCTGTCAGCGCGTGCCATCCTCGGGAATACGAAAAAAAAGGACAAAAACGTGAAAACGAGGGCAAGACAATGACTTTCTGGGAAAACGATGACGCATTCACCGCAAAATCTGTACGCGCTCGCTGCGACGCTGCGAAACGACGGTTTTTCTGCAGGAGAAAACGCAGATCTGTGTTACATTTCTTTTTCATGTTAAATATGAAGACTCGGCACGGAATATATAATTTAAATTTTGAATAAAATAAATTCGCTATTTTGACTCGACTATTTTTTAATATTAAATGCCCCGTAATATTTAAATGCCGCGATGCGGTCAGAAACTGAAAATAATTATTATGCAAAGAAGCTAAAAAATGTGTTATATCTTTATTATTAATTCATTAATTACATTTTATTATTTTGGTCGATGGGATATGTAAACTATATTGCCTTTTCAAGCTCTTTCCAATATTAATTGAATAATATGTATATGGAAGTAATATGTGTATTATAATAACTAATTATAATATCAAATAATTATTAATTTATTAGTTTTTTTAGATAATTTTGTTGCAAACATGATCCTTGAAACTAAGTAGATATTAAGAGACAGTAACTCGCGTAACCATTATAATTTGTTAATCAAAATCTAGTTAATTAATTTTTGATTGAAACAATTTTATTATATATATTTTTATTATTCGTTTCTATTAAAATTATCCAAACTAAGCGTTAATGTTTTTCCGATTGTAGAATGTGATTTTCAACAATGTTCCCAATCTGATAACATAATTAATCCTGCCGCTAATGGCCGTTAAGCGTAAGAAATGAAGGAAGAAAGATACGATGGACATTAGAAGTAACCACTAACGCTCTATGGCGGGTTTTATCTTCTCTCCAGACTCGTGCAAACGGTCGATAAAGCAGCTCTTTTTGTACCATCGTATCGTTTGGCCATGGAGGCTGTAAGAACAATGCACTCGGTGGATAAAGCGTAAATCTTGGCCACACGAAATGCGAGCTCGTTAAAAATTTACGGCCACGCCGCTTGTGTCGTGAAACGCATATCTATAAATCTACGGAAGAATGCCATTTAATAAGCGCACGCGAGGATTCAACTTAACGTTATACGATACCATTATTCGCATGAGCTTGTGAGAACAGTCTCGTTGCTGAATCTTCTGCAAATGAAGGAGAAGATATGTCTTCTGTTATTAATTTTACGATATTCAATGCATTTATAATTTAAATTTTCATCTCTGGATTCATGTAAAAAAAAACACATAAATATCTAAAGTCATGTATAGAAATAAATTAAAATACGCATATTTACTTTTTTTCGCGTGATAAAAGATTCTTTGAGCGATTTAAAATTGATTCTGAATGCAAAGTTTCAGACACTCTGTAACAATTGTAATATCTTGAATAAAATATGAATTAATCATCGCGAAGTCGATTAATCTTTCCAACAATTTTCACCGGTAAAATGTTAAACTTATTCTTCTATTTCTTCTTCAACAAGTTTTTCATATAATGGAAAATTATGAAACAAATTTATTACAACAAAACTTGTATTTTCGATATACCCTCTTCAAAACCTAATTTTGTGCATTCTGCGTTGTCGGTCAGAAAGTATTGAAAAACAGTCGTCGAACGAGAAAGTGTTGGTTTCAATCAACCGCGGTCATTCATCGTCGTACAGAGTGTTTCATAACACGATGCTTTAGAAAATAGATTTCTCAATCCTGATCGCGCTTTGTTCCATCATATACCGTTAATCGCAATATTATTGCCCGAGCACATTTTACTCCATAAGTTCGACAAACAACAATTTGTAACTCAGTTTCACCGTGCACACCTGTATCCCTTTAGCATGAACGTTGATATCGCGTTTTATTGATCGCGCCGGTGTGCTCCGGCACTTTTCCAATTCCATTTACGGAGCTTTTCATCCCCCGAATATTTGTTTTAGCAATATAATCACACATCATGGCCGAATCCGCCGCCGGTCGTGCCGCTGGAGGAGCGAGGTGATATTGGAAAGCCTACAAACGGCAGCGATGACGACTACGGCAGTTCGTCCGGATGGAACTTAAGCAGAGGGTTCATCACGGACAACGAAGGTACTTGGACAACATGCCGCCTCATGCTTTTCGCTGCTATGATTTATGTGAGAAATAGGAGGAAGTACAATATATACGTTCCTTCTTTCCCATCCAGCATCCTTATGCTCACCCGGCAACGTGAAAACTTAGGCTGCAGATTTTGCGATAGGGATACCGTCGCGTCTGACAATTTTATCTGATAAAATTCACAAAGGTTTTCTTTATACATCTAGTTAAAAAATAAGGAACACGTTATTAAGTTAATTAATTTTATATGGAGAAAATACGTTTGTATTAGAGCTATGTATTTGTAGAGGTATCAAGAAACGGAATACGTATGTCTCCTAATACCGTTTCGTGCAGACAATTCGCGTCTTCGAGCGGACTATCAATTTTCGTCGCGTGCAACGAATCATTCTTTCGTTCCCTGAAATTTGGTAGTATTCATAATGGGGATAAATGTCGGAAACAGTCCATCCAGGAATTCCGACATTACGTTTGCTGATTGGCATGTCTAGGATACGAGGATGCGGAAAGGCGGAACGGCAGTTACACGGCTGGTCATTACAGTCCCGATGAAAGGACTCGGCACTGGCTCTATAGGAACAGGAGCGATCCCCACGGTCAATTTTCCTCGGGCCGATTGCCTTACGATCGGGCACCGCAGGGCTACGACAGGTATCCTGACAGCGGCGGCGCGTCGGGATACGGAATTGACGAAAACCGACCAGGCGGCTATCCCGATGGCCACGGCGATTACGATACATACAGCGGTAATCAATCTTGACTTCGTAAATTATGACGGATTATTTTATTTTACACTTTAAAATCGATATAAGAAAAATTTATTTTTTTTAAATTGTTTTAAATCGTATTTAATATTATAGAAAAAAAATTATACAAAAATATTGGAAAATTAAATTAACTTTTTTGATAGAAATGTTTTTTTTCTATATCTTTGTCTGGTTTTCGATATCAATTAATTTAAAGCAATATGTTTGTATAACGCAGATATACAAATTTATATATATAAATGTTTTCAGGAGTGTTACATACACAGATTTGCATTTTTATTCAATTTATCTTTTCAACAAATTGCTCGGATATTTTTAATCGTTCGCAATTGGTGCTTTTAGGTGCCGGTGAAAGCGAACGAGGAGGAGGAGGAGGTTCTTATAATTACGGTCAAGGAGGATCCAGTGATGACGGTAGTTACGGAGGAAGTCATGGTGCGGGAGGTGCGGATTCCTACGGTCGTGGAGGTGGGCAAGCTTACAGTGGCGGTCGTGGAGGCGGAGACGCTTATGGCGGCGGTCGCGGAAGTGGACAAGTTTACGGCGGCGGCGGTCGTGGAAGCGATGACGCTTATGGTGGCGGTCGTGGGCGTGGTCATGGTGGTTACGGGGGTTACGCTGCCGCTGGAGCTGACGAGAATTATCCGAGCAATTACCAAGTGGTACCGATGCCCGGAGCACCGCGAAACTGTACCGGATCAGGATGCTGCATACCCAAATGCTTCGCCGAGAAGGGCTCGCGGGTTTGTTTTTCGAGGATTAACAATAGAATATCGAAGATGTTAAAATAATAGTTAAAATATTCAAATATGCTATGAATTTTATCTTAATTGCTTTTTATTCAATTAGCACGCGATCTTTCTACATGTTTGTTCCATAAGAATGTTTTCATCTGTTTCGAAAAACTTTCTCGTAGAATAAAAAAGAAAATAGAGAAAGGTTGGAGATATAAAAAATGTTTTTATAACTCGAAAGTTTATTAATAGCATATTTATATTTAAATGTGATTTTTAGAGTCTTAAGTGCTGACTGCTTAATTTATCATGATATTCTCATTCAAGGGACCACCAGGAATAATGGGACCGCAAGGTCCCAAAGGATTTCGTGGATTTCCTGGAGCAGAAGGTCTTTTAGGACCCAAAGGTGAGAAGGGAGATCCCGGTCCGCAAGGTCCGCACGGTGCGAAAGGTGACAGAGTATGTATATTTTTAGTATCATCATGATATCATATAATATTATAATATGTCTAAAGTTTAAACTTTTGCTAAAAAAATAATTTCACGTTATTAAAGGGAAAAATGGGTATGCCTGGTTTTCCTGGTATAAACGGCGTGCCTGGAGTACAAGGATCTCCAGGTTCCCCAGGCTTGCCCGGTCGTGACGGCTGCAACGGCACGGACGTAAGTATTTTTCAGAAGTCATTAAGATTTTAATATAATTACGTTTCTTAATTTGAATAATTTGTATCTATTAATTATTTTATCAGGTATTCATGCTTTAGATATAAAAATATGGACGTTATAAAATTGAAGGGACACTATACAAACAATTCATATGTAGGATTGTCATCTAACACAGTTATTCTATAATAACTTTATTAAAAGTAATTATAAGTTATTGTTAGATTATTAATGTCATAATTTATATATTGTGTTTCTTTTTAGGGTGAACGTGGGCGTGATGGTATACCCGGAGAACCAGGACCTCGCGGTTTTAAGGGTCTGCCTGGACCTAAAGGAGACAAGGGCCAGTCAGCGTACGCTGGTTCTTTCCCGCAGGGTCAAAAGGGTGAACCTGGTAACGACGGTGTGAGAGGCCCTCCCGGTCCCCCCGGTTTTCAGGGAGACCGTGGCCCGTCTGGCCTGAAGGGTGAACGAGGTCCCTACGTAAGTATCAAATTTATTAAAATGTAGTTTTCTTTTCAAAATATTTCAACACATTATACGATATTATATGGAAATCTTAGGGTGCCCCTGGCATACCAGGTCCAAAAGGAGAAAAAGGAAACATGGGTCTTGGATTTGAAGGATTAAAGGGAGACAAAGGTCAAAAGGGCGATGCAGGACCTCCAGGTTCGACAGCGCCTATTATGCCGTTTCAAGGAGTCTCGGACATAACGGGTCCGCCCGGAGACACAGGCCAAAAAGGAGATAAAGTATGTAGGAAAATATTATCGGCTTTTTTCTGCATGTTATTACATGCAGAATTTTATATTATACTCTCTAACTGGAGTAACATTTAGGGTGAAATGGGATTGGAAGGACTAAAAGGAGAACCTGGATTCATAGGCGATCATGGCATACCCGGAGGGTCAGGTCATAAAGGAGAAAAAGGTCTTCCAGGAGCTCCAGGCATTCGTGTAAGTACATAGTATATACATTATATACACACATATAAAACTTTTTATATAATTTTAATTAAATATATTATTAAATCAAATTTTAGAAAAATAATTTATTTTTTTTGTTTTAGGGTAGAGATGGTTTCTCTGGACCTCCTGGACCTCCCGGACGAAAAGGTGATCGAGGTATTGACGGATTGGAAGGACTTAGTGGACGACACGGCAAGAAAGGAGAATCCGGTCGAGATGGACCGATGGGTGTTCCAGGTTTACGAGGACCTCCTGGTCCACCAGGAGTAAGTCTTTTTTTTTAGAATAATATATATCATTAAATACAACAATTTTTATAATATATTATTTTTAATTATGTGGCGTTTACGTAAATATGCGAAATTAAGTTGGAAAAGTTATTTAAAATTAAAATTGTATTGAAAATTGCATTCTAGGGTGGTAAAGGAAGACCGGGACCACCAGGTCCGAAAGGACCACGTGGTTTTCCAGGACCTACCGGGCCACGAGGAACAGACGGTTTTCCAGGAGACCCAGGACCAAGAGGTCCCATAGGTTTACAAGGAGGTCCCGGATTGTCTGGAATTCCAGGTCCAGAAGGTTTGCCAGGAGAAAAAGGTGGAAAGGGTGAGCCTGGTTTGACCGGATTTCCTGGAGGTCCAGGTCCACGTGGCTTCGATGGACCACCCGGACCGGCGGGACCGCGAGGGCCGCCAGGAGAGAAAGGACTCTCAATAATGGTGAATAAAGTATACAGTATACGAACAAATTTTGCAATTATTATATTGGTTACTATATAAATACACCTACTTAAAAAAATTATTAAATTATTATGTCTGGCGTAGGGACCGAAAGGAATGGATGGATCGCCTGGTTTCGACGGAGAGAAAGGTCAAAAAGGCGAACGAGGTTACGTGGGTGTCCGAGGTCGACCAGGAGACTCTCTAGATGGTATTCCAGGAGCACCGGGTGCACCCGGTGAAAAGGGAGAAGCCGGAACGTCAGGAAGAGACGGCTTACCAGGTCTTCCTGGAAATCCTGGAGACAAAGGAGATATCGGCGGTCGTTGTATAGATTGTTTACCGGGATTGCGAGGCGCCAAAGGAGATCGTGGTTTGGATGGTATACCCGGACTTACCGGACCTCGAGGACCACCCGGAGAACGCGGTTTCCCTGGGGAACCTGGAGTGGATGGTTTGCCAGGCCCAATCGGACCTCCGGGACTGCCAGTATGTTAATTTTATTTTTATAATTCGTTTTACAGATTTTACCAATATTTATTTAGCTAATTATATAATATTTATATTTCATGTCGATATAATATACGTTTTTTAGCCTTTTTATCTTAAATAGCATATAAAATAAAAAAATTTTGCAATCAAATAATATTTTTTAAATAAATAATGTAGCTTATAAAAAAAAAAAAAAACACAGATGAGTTGCAACATGTTATTTTAACTTTATATCGTGTATTTTTAAATTTATTTGTATATACTGGAAGAATATACTTGGATAAGATTTATTTCAAAAAGATTGCCCCAAAAATAATGCTATGATACATAAGTAAAAACATAATTCGTTATATGAACCGTGCTACCATCGCAAAATTAATATTCGTTTTCTGACAAATATTTTTCACTTTGCTTAGATAATCTATTATAATTTTGTTCAATAAATCATATCATTTACATTCAAATTATAAAAAGAATTCAGAATAGAATTCTTATAATTTTATACGTCGCGGTTGTATAAAATACGAAAAACATTTGATAAAATAAGAATATATACATATCTATAAAATATATATTAAAATACATGGCATATAAAATTGTAAAGTTCTATTTTAAAGTACAATGTCTATTAAATCATTTAAAGCAGACCTTTAGTAAGCTTGTAAAAAGAGCGAAAGAATAAAACATTTCTTTTACTTTTCGTACTGTATATTTATAGGATGATTTTAAGTAAAATTTAATGTATTTTTGCTTAATATTAAATATTTTCTATCTGAAACATTTAATTATACTAATACGGAGAACTAATACGGAAAGACATTATACAGACGTAATTGCAAATTGTCAAATAAAAAGAAATGTACCGATTTTTCAATAAGGGAAAAGATGGTATACCCGGTTCTCCAGGACCTCAAGGATCACCCGGAACCCCAGCAACAGTGACATGGGGCATGCTCAAACTGGAAAAAGGTGATAAAGGAGCGCGAGGAGAGTCTGGTCGACAAGGTCCGCCGGGACCAGAAGGGCCTCCGGGAGAGAAGGGTAGACCTGGATTCGAAGGTTTCCCAGGGCTTAAAGGAACTCCAGTAAGATCAACCTTTTAATTATTCCTGTCAGTTTTAAGAGAGTAATTAATATTTTCCTGGCAAATCTTTTTTATATGTCAAATTACAAACTCGTCGCTTTTAGGGAGATCGCGGTTTCCCTGGACAAGATGGCGTTCCAGGAAGACCAGGTACGCCTGGACGCAAGGGAGATAAGGGAATAAGTGTAAAAGGTGAATCCGGAGAACCAGGTCGTCCAGGATCTTCAGGACAGAAAGGAGAGCCTGGTTTGTACGGAGTTAAGGGTGAACCTGGTAAGATTTTGTCAATATCTTTTAGAACATTTTATGTGATATTTATTTTGGAAACATTTTAAAAATACGTTATATATGTTTATGGATAAACACTGACAATTATACTTGCAATTGTTTTTGTAACCAGGTGAATGTCCGCCACTTGACCTTATGAAAGGCTTCAAAGGTGATCGAGGTTTAACTGGTGACAAGGGAGAACCTGGACCACCTGGCAGGGATGGATTACCTGGTGATAAAGGATTGCAAGGCTTCTCGGTATGTATATCAATAAAAAAAAAACTTGTGGAAAAAGGTTCCTTTTCGTTAAAACTATTTTATATATGATAAATATAAGTTTTTTTTATAAATAAAATGAATTAATTAATAATATGTCGTAACAATAAATAATAAACTATTAATAATAAACTAAATAATACATAAGTAATCAATCAACTTATGTTATTTATCTGTAAAGAGATATAATCTCACAATACAATGTTGCAATTTAAAACTTAGGGTCCACCCGGTCCAATTGGCCCAATCGGTGCTCCTGGGCCTGTCGGTCCAAGAGGTTTACCTGGTCCGCGTGGTGATAAGGGTAACATGGGTCCTATGGGTTTCCCAGGAGAACTTGGTCGAGAAGGACCTAGAGGTTTCCCGGGTGCACCGGCTCCAAAGGGTGACAAGGGAGAACCTGGAATATCAGTTAAAGGTAGTCCTGGTCTACCGGGTCCTCCGGGTGAAAGGGGAGAGAAAGGTCTTCCTGGACCACCAGGAAAAGAAGGTCAGCCCGGTTACCAGGGATTACCGGGTTTCGCTGGCGAGAAAGGAGACATTGGCGCACCGGGAATCAATGGTTTGCCAGGAGCACCTGGTGAGAAAGGAGATACAGGTCCAAATGGTCCACCTGGTCCTCCAGGTGTTGCCGGTATTCCAGGAGCGGATGGAATCAAAGGTATGACATGAGAAAGAATTTCATATCTCAGCAATAAGCAAGAATATTTATATAATAAAGTCGTTATATAAATAAGAGAAAGAACGATCTGAAACTATAATTTGTTAAATTTAGCAATATAAGAATTATTTAATTATTTAATTACTTAATTTACAGGCGAGCCCGGATTAACAGGAGAGCCAGGTAGAGCGGGTCTCCCTGGATTCCCGGGAACGAAAGGTGATCGCGGTGAACCAGGTATCGATGGATCAAAAGGATATCCCGGCAGACGAGGATTACCTGGTGGTCCAGGTAGACCTGGAGTTGATGGCTTGACAGGTATAAAGGGTGAACGCGGTGACAAAGGTTCACCAGGATTCCCCGGATTACCAGGTATGGAAGGAAAGCCTGGTCGTCCTGGAATATCCGGACTGAAAGGTGATCTAGGACCGCCTGGTACGCCGGGCTTACCAGGACTCATCGGTTATCAAGGAGTTAAGGGCGATACTGGTCCACCGGGCCCAACGGTAAATATTTTCAGTTTTATAATTATATATTATTAATTATAAAGATTGTCCAAATGAAACATAAATGAAACATAACTGTTTGAGTGAATTGCAATTTAAGACAGAATATATGTACACAGATAAATACATACATATATTGGCACTCCTAATATTTAAGCAAGTGTGCCATCTCCATTGACGTTACTTTTCACGACGCAACAACTCGTCTATGTTTCGTATAAATAATATACTATTATATTTGTAATTATATATACTATTATATTTGTAGGTACATTTATATTACTTGTGCGTGTGTACATGTAATATTACTTGATATATGTAATTATGTACAATTAGGGAAGGAAAGGAGAGCCAGGAGAGGTATCGGAAAAAGGACAGAAAGGCGAGCCAGGAATGCCTGGAATACGAGGTCCTACAGGTCCTCCGGGACGAGATGGTGTCGATGGAGCGAAGGGCGAATCTGGCAGACCAGGCATTGGGCGTGACGGATTACCTGGATTAAAGGGTGACGCGGGTGTACCGGGTCGGCATGGAGCGCCAGGATTCCAAGGTCAAAAGGGTGATACTGGCGTACGAGGATTCCCTGGAATAAAAGGCGATTACGTAAGTGTTCATAATCTAAAAAGAAAATATTAAATAATTAAAATAATAGAGACTTTTCTAATAAAATTATAATTTCATTTTCTTTGTTGTTGTTATTAGGGTCCACCGGGTATATCCGGAGAACCAGGTCCGCCCGGCATAGATGGACTTCCTGGAGAAGTTGGCGATGTCGGGCCACAGGGAGCACCTGGTTTTCCTGGACTTGATGGCGAAATGGGCGCTCCTGGTCGGCCTGGACTCGATGGTGTTAAAGGCGACCGCGGTTTGTCAGGTAATCACAATCACAATGTCAGATTTTTGGTAATTTGTAAAATGCCATTAGTATGCATGCCAAAGTATCATTATTTTACAATTAATAATGTGTTAGATTTATAAAGTGAAGTAAAAATCAGTATTTTTTTTACTAAATTATTTTATTCAAGAGTAAACTATTGAAGGAGTTATAGAATTATTTTATTTAATATTGAGTTACTCAAGAGGATATAGTGAAAAATAAGGTATTTCTGACCACTTTATAAAATGTTTATTTAAAGAGATACAGAAATAATTTTGTTGCAAAAATGTATTTTTAATAATAAAATTAAGATGCAAATTTTTTAATTTTTAATAATTTATTTAAAGCTATTAATTTATATCAGTTTCATATTTTTTGCTTTAAACTAATGAAAAATAAAAATAAATTGTATACATTTAAATCCTATAATATGTAACAAAGTCCTTTAGTATTTTAAATATATATACAAGATGATTGCTAATAATTTATCAATATATAAAAATCAGATTTATATACGTAAAGCAACTCAGTCATATGAAACAAAATCGAATTTCAGGACTCGTCGGATTGCCGGGTATTCCTGGAGCACTTGGAGAAAAGGGAGATCGTGGACCTCCGGGACCTACAATCCAAATTAAGGGTGAGAAAGGTGAACCAGGTATTCCTGGATACCCTGGAGACAAAGGAGACAAAGGAGATCAAGGTCTGATAGGTATCGCTGGTTATGACGGCGAAAAGGGTGACAGAGGTCCAATTGGATCCGAAGGTGCTCCTGGACCTCATGGTGCTCCCGGACCTAAAGGTACATTCTTATTCACCTTATGTATAATGTTGCTTTAAATAAAAATAAATGAATTTTAACACAAATATGTAGAATAAAAACCGCAAGAGAAATATGTGTGAATGTTGCAATTATTTATCTATATTTACTATGCTAATTAATTTTTTATCTATATGTAATATAACAATTTTATTAATATTTTCCAATATTTATAAAACATTGTATATCTTATGTAGGCGAACTAGGACCTCCTGGTATTGCTGGAGTTCCCGGAGTTACGATAAAGGGGGAAAAAGGTTTGCCAGGTTTAATGGGTAAGCACGGCAGGGACGGATTTTCAGGACGGCCAGGTGAGAAGGGTGAACCGGGATTGCCTGGTTTGCCTGGACCAAAGGGAGACATTGGTCCTTACGGGCCAGTTGGACCACAAGGTGAAAAAGGTGATCAAGGACCACCAGGTCTAACTGGATCACCAGGACGTGACGGAGTTCCAGGTCTCGAAGGTGCACCAGGATTACCTGGTGACATAGGTCAGAAGGGTGATCAAGGGCCGCCTGGACAATTCGGTGTCCCAGGATTGAAGGGAGAACCCGGTTTCCCAGGTGCTTATATTTTTATTAATTTTATGTAATTATTATATTTTTAACTAATTTAAAAGTTTTATATAACTATAGAGAGAGAATTAATTAATTTCAATAATATATTGTAGATAACTATATGTATATATATGTATATATTTAAACAACATACATATACAAAAACTTTTTTATTAGATATGCGATAACTTTAATATTTGAACAATTATTATAAATAAGTAAGATAATTATTATAAATATATCAATCTAATATTTATTATGGCTTTATGATTAAAGCGAATTAATTTCTCTATCTGTATTAAAACGACAAAGAAAATCTGATTATAATTATCTCTTGGACAACGATATGACCGTTTAGTTATTCAATTTTAGGACCAAGTGGATTAGATGGACCTCAAGGAGAAAAGGGTGAAAGAGGTTGGGATGGTGTAAATGGTCTACCTGGACCACCAGGCGAGAAAGGTGATAGAGGATATCCTGGTCAAGTCGGATTAATGGGTACTGTTGGCTACATAGGTGCGAAAGGAGAAAAGGGTGAAGATTGTCTCGAGCCGCCAATGGGACCTAAAGGAGATCGCGGATACCCTGGTATGCTTACAAATAATTTTTAAATATATACATATATATATATTTTACATGTTGGTAAAAACTCGATAGACAAATGTAATTCAAGATATAATGTGCGTAAAAATACGCTACAAAGATTCTAATGTGCTAAATAAAATTTTATTTGGCATATACATGTTTAAAATATTACTCGGATTTGATTGTATTTTTTAACATACAATGCATTTGAAACTATAAACATTTTTTCGTAGGACCGGCCGGAGCGCCTGGTCCATCAGGAGAGAAAGGACTTCCGGGCCCGCCCGGTTTCCCCGGCTTAGACGGTATTAAAGGCGCCCAAGGTTTCATCGGTCCAGCAGGGCCTCCCGGGCTACCGGGATTGCCCGGACCTGTCGGTGTACCCGGTCTACCGGGTCTTCAAGGTCCTGTCGGTGCGCCAGGACTTACTGGCGAGCCCGGCGCGCCCTGCGAGACGACACCCGACTATCTCACCGGTATTCTTCTGGTCAAGCACAGCCAAAGTCAAAGCATCCCGATTTGCGAGCCCGGTCATATTAGACTCTGGGAGGGATACAGTTTGCTTTACACTGACGGCGACGAGAGAGCGCACTCTCAGGACTTAGGTGAGCTTTGCATTTTTTTTAGTATTTTATACAAAAAATAAGATTTTATTTATTAAAAATATTCAACCGTATGATATTTTTATCCGGTCTAAAAATAAACCTAAAATAATTATTTTAGGAAGCGCAATCTTTAAAATAACGTTTTAGACTCTTTTATTTGCTTGGGAATGCAAAAAATCAGAAAGAAAATAATATTTAGGAAGATCTCTCTTCCTCGTTTCGCCCACGGGTTTCGATTTTTGTTATAATTTTATCAGATTTATATTTATAAATCTATCGCGACTTTTTGATTTTCCATGGACGCAGTTTGTCGGTGATTTATTAGATTTGCACAATTAATCTCGATTATCTGGATTAAATTGTTACGACTCGCATTTGAGCATTAATACACACTTAAATTCATTATTCAGCGAATTTATTATGCATCGCATTACATATTTTTGCACGATTGTAAGCTATTTAGCATCGCTTAAGCTAATACATATTTGCGTTCAGTAAAAACAGGTCACACTTGTTTTTTCTTCTTCCGTTCTCAATGTCATATCACGATCGCGAGATAATGGTGACTTGTAGAGCTATATGATAATAAAATTCCATTTTTTTAATGGGTGCAAACTAATCAAACTTGTCCCATAAATTATTATGAAACAGGTTATGCCGGCTCGTGTGTAAGAAAATTCTCGACGATACCTTTCCTGTTTTGCGACGTCAACAACGTCTGCCATTACGCTAGTCGCAATGATCGTTCTTACTGGCTGTCTACCAATAGCCCAATTCCCATGATGCCCGTCGAGGAGAGGGCGATAGAAGAATATATCTCCAGGTACGATTACGATGTTCATTGTGCATATTGTGTATGTCGCTTAGATTTTTATTGCGAGCAAAAAGTTTTTTTTTTGGAGAGGATAATTACACAAGATGTAGAACAAAATTGAATATTCTTCCAGCCGTAAAAATTGTAAGTTAAATTTCGTAAAAAGATGTTTAATTTTTATTATTAATAACTATGTCTTCAGTTTGTTTCTTCAATCTCACATATCTCTTGACAATTAAGTCTTTTATTTTTTATCAAGTCAAAGTTCATTTAAAAACAATGTTTTTATATTCTTCGAGGTTTGATTGCGATGCTGACGCGTTATCAAATATATCGATTTAAAAATATGCAAGATCTGTAGCTAACGCCTAATCGATATGCACAGCATATTGATTATCGAGGAAACGGCGACAACAACAAAAAATTAATATTTCCTCGCGTCCGGTTTCTATCTATTGACACTTAACGAGCGAGATAAGAGCTCTCTTGTCTTTTCTTTGCGTATAAAAATTTTCGTTTAATACACATTTTTCTGAACGTCAAACGATAAACTTGCGATTTCTGCGAATAGGTGCGTGGTGTGCGAAGTTCCGGCTAATGTGATAGCAGTACACAGTCAATCGATAAGCATTCCAGAATGTCCGGCGGGATGGACCGGTCTTTGGATCGGTTATAGTTTTGTAATGGTAAGTAACTTTTTTCCCCCTCTCTGCACACAATTACAACACAAGGTAACTACGTAACTTCGTATTTTCCATTTAAATATTATCTTTCGATGAAAATATAAGGGACATAATTTTTTAATGCCAAACAAAATTATTAATGCTCGCATCACACTATTATATTAAATCAGTTTAAAAATATTAAATGGTATAGAAGAGATTAAGAATTAATATAGAAGTAATGAAATGAATTTAGATCGCGCCGTACTAATTTTGACAAACGTTAAAACGATGGCAGAGGTAAAATGGAAACGCGATAAAATTAAAGCAGCTGTTATTCACGTGTATAAAATTTCTGATACATATATGACAACTATTTTTCACGAAGAAATTAACGAATTGATTGACCGAATTTATACCGAAACAAGATTTTATATATTTATAGGCTTATCTCTTATTGCAGCGTAAAAACATTAATTAACTGACAATGTATAAATATACGTTTACCGAAAAAATCCGTATCTCGTACAAAATTGCGTTTTTATCGCAGTTACACAATTACTTTTCTCCTAACTCGCCCAAGTTCGCTTTATATTCAGTTCATAGAAACTTCACATCAATCATGTTCGAAATAAGGCAAACCTTCATCCGTATGAGCTGTCGGGAGGTAAAGATTGTCTCTCACTAAAAGGAAGAGATCCATTTTATTCGAGGACGTTCTCTCTTTCTCAGCGTTTCGACGATGACATTTGAGCAGCCAATAAATCGGTTGTCTTACTCACAATTTTTAATGTTTAAACCAAGAAAATACGGATTCGATAGAATTATGTCTCTAGGCCACTCGAATGTTGGGAATTGCAAATGGCCACTTCGGCGCTTGTTTATCGGAAAAATTTCTTTGTGTTTCAGCATACCGGCGCAGGTTCCCAGGGCGGCGGCCAGTCCCTGTCGAGTCCCGGTTCCTGCCTGGAGGACTTCCGCGCCACACCGTTCATCGAGTGCAACGGCGCCAAAGGACACTGCCATTACTATTCTAATCAGTACAGCTTCTGGATGGTGACCATAGAGGAAGGCCAGCAGTTCAGGAGCCCCGAGAAACAGACCCTAAAGGCGGGCAATCTTAGATCCCGAATAAGTCGCTGCCAAGTTTGTATAAAGAACACGTAAACGTTGCGCGCCACCGTTTACACACGTACACACACGCACACGCGTACACACACACGCATGGCATACACACACACACACCCACACACATATACATGTAATACACAATTATTTTTCCCTCTTTTTTTTTACACGAGAACAGAAGCGAAACTGTCATTACGAGCAGCGATTGAAACCGATGCAATTTCATCGAGTTCCGGTCTCGACGGTTAGAGATCCCACGCGGAAATGATCTCTATGCTTATCCGAGACAATGAAAATGCGTTCGATTTGTGCGGGATACATTTTGTCGCATCTCCGGACAACACACGGAAAAATCGAACTCGCCGGAATTGCACCGGTTCCGGTTTCTCTGATAACAAGGAAGAAAAGAGCGGTAATGTCTCTTGCGAACGGAACGACAACGGAACGGAAATTCAGGACGACATCGTCCGATCCGTGTCCGACGACGTCGAGAAATAAAGAGAATGGACGTATCCCTCTCTCCTGTGATTCCCTCTTGCCTCAAACGTGTTCCGCAGCCACGTCTTGTCTTCATTATTTCCTGCCTCCTCGCCCCTCGCCGTCGGCGTCGGGAGGACACTTCGCGTCCCGGAATAAGAGTTTCTTTCTCCGAGAGCCACCTTATACCCTTCTCTCACTCGTTACCCGCTCTTTTATCTTCGCGCTTCCTCTCTTTCGCCATATGTGTTTTCTTCTTTTTTTATATATATATGTATAACTATTCAAGCAAGTGCCTTTATAGCGTACTCTATTCTAGCATGTAAAATAATATATATTTATATTCGTCTGAATCTCGTATTGAAGTCTAAGTTTATCGTACCACCACGGACACTGCCCATATCCAATATGGCACATTTTACATATTGTATATTAATATAAACGATCTTAGCCTGGTAATCGTGTGACGCCAAATATTTAAATAAATAGGTATTTTGCTACGTAGCTAATAAAATTCTATTTTCAAACTTCACCGACTCATTTTCACTTGTTTATATCCGATCCTAAATAGTGCGCGAGGGCAAGTTTCGCATATGAAACGACGAAAAATTTTTATAAAGCTTGAGAGGAAAGATATAAAGAAGAGCGATAAAAAAACGAAGCAATTACTCTTTAATCTTTCGTACGCGAATATTTTGCGAATGATGATTGATACCCACATCTATATTACTGTTATACATGTCCTTTACACAGTTTAACAAAAAAATTGGCAGAGAAAAGTGTGTTTTAACCGTTCCACGTAGGAAATATTTTCCAGTGTTTTTTCCACAGCATATTTACTTCAAGCGAATCCAAGAGATGTTTTTCGCACAGCACTCATTTTACCGCAAAAGTAAGAAGTTTATTCCAGTTATTATGAAAGTAGTTTACTTTTTGCCTATATAGACGTAGATGTATTTTTATTATAGATTATAATCACTATAAAAATTTGCCAGCACGAAAGTGCGAAGCATATTGTACAGAGGCATAAAAGAGTAACGCGATTTGATAACAAATTTTGATAAATTTGCGTTAAATTTCTGTTAGTAAAAATTAAGACTTAAATTAGAACAATGTTAAATATTAAGTAGAATTAATAGCTTATCTTGAATGTTTTGTCAAGTTCGACAAACAATGAGCATGAATTTAATTTTTACTAAATTGCAAACGAATTTGAATATTAACGCAATATTCATTGAAAAATTATTTTGTTTTTCAATTTTAATATTCTAATATTAATTTTAATATTATTTTTTAATTCTATCACATTTATGAGATAAATATGTGATAAAAAATAGTTTATTAAATTTTCGGTTAAATTTACTTTAAATTCATCGAAGAATCTCAGAGCTATTAATCTTGCCCTGAGACAGCTGTATATGTTTTATATATCGTTACACGCAAGGCTATTCGTTTACTCGTGCAGCACGCGAGTAAACTGTCATCCTTGCGATTTTTCGCGGCGATTTTACGCATATGCTCGAACGCCGTCTCGTTATGGTAATCTGTTTTTTAAGAAAGGAAATCGCTAGCGCACTAACATCGCGAGGCACTTTAAAGTTTCGAAGGGCTGTCTTCGTGTCAAGAAAGTTAAAACGCTCGCAGGAATTCTATAAGAAATTGATCAAGATCAATGTCAGTCAAAAGCTGTTTAATCTTTAATTAGCCCGGTAAAAATCCATTTCAGAAGGATTTTAAGAGTTTAAAATCCTAAAAGTAACAGTAAATGATAAGTAATATTTAATTTTCTTCTTACTTTGCACGCAATTTGTAAATCTGTTGACCTTTAAAAAGATATTTCCTTCGATTTGATATAATTAAGTCTTGATAACGTAATTATTGGGATCTATATAAATACGTAAAATTTAACATTTAATATGTAACATTTCCATCCCTAAAATTCTTGCATTTTCTCGCAACAACATTGCAAAATTAGCTCACTATTCGGTCAAATACAAGTAACAGAAATTACATTAAAATCTGATTTCTCCAGAGTTACCTTAAGGTCGTTAATGTAAGAAAGAGAAAGACAAATAAATCAATATTGCACATACAACAAATATAAATACTCCAATTTCACAATATATATGATATAATTTACATTTTATGTATACTTTTTCTGCATTATTCTGAGAAAATAAAGTCGCTTCTTCACGCTTGTTAAGAATTTATTTATCCGAAGGCTGTTGGAGATGGAATTTCTCGGATTTCGATCAAGATGTTAAAACGCAATACGAAGTATATAATAGCTGCGTGTTATTTACTTCGCAGTGGCTGATATCGGCAATAGATTCATTAGCATATGTTTTCGTTTCTTACGTGCAAACAGCCTCTCACTCGCGTTTGTCACGCCACATTCGATTCAGGGTGTGAGCGCGGACGCCTCGTTGAATGGCACGAGGATTGAATCGAAACGGAACACAATGCTGCGGCCGTAATGCACGCGGCGGAGCTTGCACTCTTCCGCAAGTTTCCGTCGAGATACTGTGACATTTCCTCATGCATACATCAAGTCGACCCACAGACACGATATTTCGAGTGCTCTAAAATACGGTACGCGAAAGCCATAGAATTACGCGAATTTATTTTTATAATGTATAGTCTCTTGTCGCATGCTTTTCTGTTATTGTTTGTTCAGCTTTTTGTGTTATTCACTCTTAAAAAAGACATGTTAAATGAACGTTAAGATCTCGAATGTTGAAGAGATTGGTAATGCAACTAATTTCATATAATTCTATTCATTATTGTCTTCGCAAAAATCGGTTTAAACGCAAAGGAATGTGTTTAATTGCCTATTTACAGAAAATAACACACTGGAATTAAATACGACAGTGACGCATATACAAATATGTTTTTCACTGACAACCTAGTTATTAACTGATCATCATTATACTTTATTATCAACGATACTTCTTTTCAATAGAAGTTCTTATAAATATGCAGATTTTAATAAGAATTCTTCAATGCGTAAGATTATAGTCTGTACTTATTTTTACTAGAATAATTAAGAATCAAAGAGAATGTCAAAATTACATAGAAACATGCGTAAAAGCAATGTCAGAGTGATGTTAAAGTATTATAATGGGGAAAAGTTGTGCGACGGATACAGGCGGTATGCAGTCCACTGATTCCAAAAAGACTTGTTGATAGCGCTTCTGACAAAAATGTCTTCTTTACCGTAACGTTGCCAGATAAACTATAACAGTTTTTGTCGGTAAAATTATATTTGTCATATCCTATATTCTGCATTTTTGAAATTAAAATAATTTCACCGACAAGAACTATTACGTCAGTTTCTGGCAACGGTATACGATAAAGAAGACACTTTTATCGGAAGCGCTGTCAACAAGTCTTTTTGGGGTCAGTCAACGTGGTCAGCATAGCAACCAGAGACGAGCCTCCAAGGAAGAGCCAACTACGCAACTTCTTTAAGGAACTAGAATAATGAAATTCAAATAATTTCTCCTTACGAAAGAAATCAGAGACGTATATCTCAGCGTGTGATGTCACGTATTTAAATACGTCATTAACGAAACTAATTAGCTATAATGGGATGACGAATCGGAATGTGGATTTTTAATGAGAAATGACGTACTCGATAAAGCCTTTTCTTAAAGTTCAAGAATTTTTTAAGATTTACAAGTAAATAAAAATTTATTTTGCTATTTATTTTGTTTAATTTATTTTGTTTAAATGCAAAATTGAACTTGTTAATTATAATAAAATTCTAGACACACAGATTACGATTACTAAAAATATTATAAGCATTCCAAAGTATTTGCATAAATTTTCCATACATTATTTTTTACATACAGCTTACATTGCGATTGGGGTTCGTGTTCGATCGCGGTCATTTATCAGTGTTATTTATTAAAACGATAATTTGCTAGTATTTAGGGAGCAAAGCTCTGCACAAAATTTATTCAGGATAAAGCTCTATCGAACTGTAATCTATTTAGCTAGACCGTGAAATTGCATCACAGAAATGCCAATTTATATCGTTCGTCCGCAATCAACGTTTGATTTTCAATTTTAACAGATAAAAATGGCAAGATTGAATTGAAGAGTCGGCTTTTGCATTTTTTAATTAATAGATAAAGGCTATATATGCATTGATAGATTTAATATAAAGGAAATTCTTATCTTTATGGTCATAAGCGATATTTCGTGCTGTGACATTTTACGGTTTTATACGATACGTTATACGATCTCCTTTTTAAACGCGGTAATATTTTGCGTTGCACGTTTGAGAAATATCATTGCTATAACATTACTTCCTACTCAGGATTCTCGTCTCGAAGAAAAGTCCGATATATCTCAGTATCGATTGACGTCTCGTAGTAGGAAAGTTTACGAGGGAATCTCAAAGAGCGCGTAGCTAGGAGAGACGCTGTTCGTCGTAAAGGAATCCTGCTGAGGCCAATGTGTTTAGCATAGCAAGCGAGTCGAGCCTCCAACGAGAGGAGCCTTGGTTCGACACACGTGCCGCATCTTATAAAATAGCGCCACGAAACGTGAAATTCCATCTTGGCCCAGTCCCGACAGCCCGATAAAGTTTGACAACATCACCGAAACCGGCGTCGCAGCATTCCTTCTGAAGAGACTCATTTTGAAAGGAGGAAAACCTCGCTAAAAAGTTTCCATCGTGCTTTTAATTTAGTAAATTTCCAGTTGATTTTGTCTTCCATTAGAATCCATCGGGTAGGCAGAGAGAACGGAGAGAAAAAGAACACTTTTATTTTTCTAAAAATATAACATCGCGAGCTTTCTGTAGGATTCAGTAAGGATGTCCTCGATTTTCAACATCGTGAATAGCTCGTCACAAAATTTCGCGGACAATGATGTGTACAAATAACTCGTAAAAATTACCAAAAAGAAAAATAAAATACAAGTAAAATGTGTATTTTATGTTAAGCACATTAAAAAATTTGCTGTTGTTACGTGCGATGATAAATATATTCATTTTATGTAATAAAATTCTTTAATTACTTTAATGGCCTTATTTTTAAGAGAATTTGATATTTCCATTGCCTGTAATATAAAATTAGTTTTGAAAAATAAGTTTTTAGGAAAAATACTTTTTCATAATACGTAAAAACTTTAATATTATTTAATTTTAAATTAATATTGCATTTTTTATATATCAACCATATCTTTTTACGGTTCAAATATTTTTACATTAACATATCCTAGTAAAAATTTTATATACAAATCCTCTTTTAAAAAAAATATATTTACTAATAAGACTAATGGCCGCATGTAAAAGCATTGATAAAATTTTTGATATAAAAAATTATTCATAAAATAGTATTTGATATGATACATCATGCTTTCATTTAACGTTTTCAACTTATGAGATACGAGCGTAGAAATATGAAAAATTTTTTAATTGAATAAAAATACGTAAAAATACGTTTTTAAATTTAAAGCTAATACTTTCGTAATATAGAAATATAATAAAAATATTATACAAAAATAGTACAAAACTTATTTCTTTTAATTATTATGTAGAATAAAGCAAGTGTGTAGCATTTAACTCCCTGTCTTAAGATTTAATTCGTGATCGCGCGTATCATAGTTGCAATGTCGCTCGCACGCTGAGATAAATCAAAGCTTTGGCAATATGTTTAATCTCCTTTTACTGATCCTCTGGTAAGTAACAATATCTTGAGATTAAACTTTTAATACCTATAATGCAATTGGTTTCTTATATTCAATTTGTATCATAAGCCTCACTTGTGATGTTTATTATGTTTGGCCTATAATTCTTAATACGATGAATCCCATTCGATATTATAAGGCAAGATATTAATTAGCTTTATGTTTTATTTCGTCCATTCAGATGGTTTATTCTATTAGAGAAAAAATTTGACAAGTACGAAATTGAATAGATATCTCGATTTAAATATAGATTTGAAAACAACAAACAAATATATTAATATTTGTTGAAAGTTAATATTTGTTAAAATATTAAGATGTAAAAATTAAAATGTATTTCCGGCAGATACAGATATATTTATAATTTTATTAATATATGTATCATATGCGTCGCACGGAATCTCTATTTTGATTTTAATAGCAAATATCTCGATTATTTCAGTGAGTCTTCTACACTGATTTTTTTTCCTGAGAAAATGTTAAAAAGTAATATTACTTCTTAAAGTTTGTTAATATTTAGTTATTATTAAAAATGTTTCATTAATTAAACATTTTAGATTAAAATTCGAAAAAAATAGATTTCCATAGAATCGATTAAATAAAATTTATGTAAGTAAAATCAAAAGTTCGTATCATTAATTGTATGGAATTAACTAACATAATTAATTAATAAGATTTCTGCAACATGTATAATTAATCTAAGCTTAATTTGCGAAGAACTCTACGTTGACGAAGCAATTTAAAATTAAAAGAGACAAAAGTTCCTGAAGCTTTTACATTAATAGGTAGTCTTTAGATGAAGTTTTTAAAATAAAATATTATTTTTTAAAAATTCTTTTAATTATTAAGCCTTTGTACATTACTTATATTATTAATATTGCCATCGTGGATGTCATGGTTGTGCTTTTTATATCAAAATCTGTTTCAATTTCTCTCATATTAATTATCTTCCTAAATTTATCACCAAATATAATATCGTCAATATGTATTAACAAGAAATATCGCTCGTCTTTATGCAAAATTGCCGACCGAGTTCAGAGCGAATGTTCCGTGCGCGCTTTAATATAATATTGAAGCTTTATTTAATCCATATGTATATCTATGTGCTGTTACAATTTCATTTGAATTTGCATTTTCCAATAGCGACATTTGGCAGTCGCTCGTCGTCTACTCAGTTAACTTTATATGATGCATGAAAATGTTATATACGTAATTATCAGTAGGTCAGTACTACATTAAATCTAGCGTAATAACAGCTTGAAGAAAAATATATATCATAACGCTTAGAGATAGCATATATATTATATAATAATAAAGAATATATTTAAAGTGATTATATAGGGGAGATCGGGGCAAACTCGACACCGGGGCAAACTTGACACTAAGCTTTTTGCCAATTTAAATCTATCGTAGAAACTTGCCTTTCCTACTGTAAATGCGTCTTTATGTGTTATATTATCAATGGAATTTAGTGACATTCTGAGTTATGACGTAATTTTTAGCGTAACATAAACGTTTTTGATGGTAAAAAGTAATTTTTCTGATCTCTCGAAAATTTCTACTCTTTCATCGAGTTTTACTCTTGCGAATCTACCGGTAAGTGATTTTGATGGGAAATTCGATGCTCTGTACGAATCCGATAATAGTTTTTGCATATTTTCAAAATTTGTATATCTTTGAAGTGACAAAAGTGAAAAACGACGTTCGGTCGACACCACCCCGTTTTATCGGCTCCTAATAACAAACGATGCTTGTCATGCTGCTATATAGCCCATGACAAATGTGTGTGCACGTCTAATCGCAAATTTACTTGCATAAATTGTTTTTCAGACATGAGTTTAGATGAAAACAATTAAATGTTCAACAATTTTTGTTCTCATTATTTTCAATGATTGTTTTACTTAATTCCGAATTTTTGTACTTTCTAAATACACGATAAACAATGTATGTTTAGTTCCAGACAATAAAAAATAACTTCCAGATCAAATTGTGCCGATCAGGCAAAGTGTCGAGTTTGCCCCGGCATTTTTCAATTTGAAAATTTGTCTTTGCGTCACTTTTCTTTTCTTGGGGACAAAACTAAGTAACGTGCATCAAAACTTCCTTAAGCAATTTTGTACCTCAAGAAACACTCTTTAAATGTGTACCATTAAATTTGCTTGAAAATTTTAATTAATTGTTAAAAATTGCGTTTGAAAAAATCATGTCGAGTTTGCCCCGGTCTCCCCTACATAGAAAATTAATCATTATTTTAATTAATTTTTTCTCAGCGAAAAATAGAAGCTTATAATGAAATTTATTTTGCACGTTTGCAAGAAATTAAGGGAATAATGGAATCGAGAAATGATGAATTTCGCTTTTATGCGCATGTGCTTCTTCAGTTGACCATTTCTGTTTGATTTTGCGCAGATAGCAATCATTTTTGCGTCTAATTTACTTATTCATCCCTGACATTTGCCGAGCGTATAGATGCAGTGGGAGGAACGCCGCGTTGAACTCAATTAACGAGCAAACGCACGTTCGCGAAGTCGTCGTTGTCGTAGTCGTCGAACCGAAACAGCAACAGCGCTCGAATAATCTCTACGACTGGTAACTCGGAGTAAACAGTTACAAGGTATAATTGCATAAACATTAGAGAGATGCAACAAAATAGAGAGCCGATGGAGTTAACGTTACATTTTAAACTCCGGTGGCGCAACGGAGACGGAGACAGAGACGGAGACTGGCGGAGGAGAAACGGAGAAACGGTGAGGCACACTCTGTTTGTACCTGCGTCGATGACAACTACGTCGAAGTTGCTCGATACGCTACGTTTCCCTACGTATAAGTAGAGAATCCATTTAATTAATTATAAAAGAAGGTGTGGTGCCGAACGGACCAATCCGACCGGTTCGTTTGTCCTCCAGCCTCCGTCGAGCATTTTGATTATTAGCGCGCTGACGCGATTGAGGCTCAGTGACGGAGAACCAGCTGCACCAGAATCGTCGATCGTATCGATAGTGCATCAGCTGTATGAGGGCCGTCGATAGTGAACATTGATATCTGAGAGTCGAGCGGCAACGTAAACGTTCCCTTGGAGATACATACACGTGCGTCCGCTGGTTGTCTACCGCGGCGAAAATCAGCAGATAAAACTTCCGAGAGGCTTCTTCGCGAGCGACAAGATGTCCGTGCCCAGTTTCCGAACTGAATGTTGGAACGTTTGCGCCTCCGATATCGCACGGAAAACGCACAATCCTATAAGGTCGATTGTGGAGAATATCGTTGTCGAACCGAATCCTAGCAAGCCGATGATTGCGCTGTCCATTGGTGAGTTTATTCCACATGTATAAGAATCGTGTTATCGTGGATCCAGTGTTGAAAACATTGAAGGGCAAAAGGGAAAAAGCGATCAATGTTCATCCGGAGTAATTTCGAGAAAAATGCAATTTTAGGTTTCAAGATATCAAATATCTTAGGAAGCTATTAAAAAAAAAAGTATTGACAGTGAATATCGGAATGCATAATGTTTATTTAGTGTTTATATTGTATGTTGGACTCTGATAGTTCTTCCCCACAAGCGCGTGGAGTGTAATCATTTTTCCCCAGCATTGCACAGTATACATCTTTCCAATGAATTATAACTGTTCTTGATCAAAACATAATTATGAATTAGAATAATGAAAGTTCTTTGAAAATGCGAGATAGCACGACCAGATCAATTTTGACAAAAAGTGGACTTTGATCCTGTCTTGCCCCTGTACCCTTCACTTACTCTTCTCTATAAAAAAGAAACTTTTTGTTCTTAAAGGCAAGAATAATCGAGCGAAGAAGTATAGATGTGGTAAAGTAAAATTGGACTTGTATTATACCCAGTTGATGATTTTTTTCATCAAATGGAACGACAAGTAAGCGAGTATTTTTTATATTTTCCAAAATCAGAATTAAAAAAAAATTAAACTGCAACTAAATAGTGTAAAATGAAAAACTTGATAATCAATTATACTATAAACTTGTTACATCTATGTGTGGCTAAGTAGATTTTTAAGTAATTTTATGGCAAATCTTTATTCAAATATTTTCTTAAGATACATGTCTTGTTCTAAAATATATATAAATTAAAAAACACAATATTTCTTAATTTATTATATCTAAGCGAGATATGTGTTAATATGCCTCATATATTAAAAGATACAAGTGGGATTTTTATATTATGTTCAAAATAATTTAAAAAATTATTCTGTCTATAAATCAATAATTAAGTGAAAAGGAGGCATAACAAGGTTACGTTATTGTCTTAATCTTTAATTGACAGACATTTCGGCCTGACATTAGGCCGTCCTCAGTATAAATTAAACAAATTATACATATCAAAGCATCCTAATAAACTTTAGAGCCGCAGTAAACTCATTAGTTTTTTTTATCGCAATATAAAATAATTTATGAATTCTGTTTATTTTACATATTTTGAATTTTATAATTTTATATCACAGAAACTCATTTTTTAATTATAATATATATAATATACACTCATCTCTCGATTTGCGCGGTACTTTTTATTGCAGTTTCTTTTGCGTTTATTGCACGATCTTTTTTATACGAGGTCAGAAAATATATCTTCCTATAATATTTAATGAAATGATATGATACATAAAAAAAGCCAAAAGTTCTTATTTGATTAGGTTTATTACATTATTCTTAACTTTTTTGGTTGATTTGTGGAGCACATCAAGCTTATCCGCGTGATAATAAATTTACTTTTTCTTGTATTTTTCGTGCAAATAGAGCAAAATAAATATGAAATAAATATTTTTACAACATACGAGCTTCTCTTACGTATTTTTTTTGTACTGGCAGACTTTATTTACACAATTTTTAACCGCGTGAAAAAAATGTGGAACAAATTCATGACTACACGTGTAACCATTAGATACTAGTATAATTTATTATAATTTAAGGACAAAATATTTACATTTACATTACAGTTAAAGGTACTTAACTATCACATATATTTAGTTTCAAAGCATTTTTATCACTAATTGCTTCTTTGATAGTGAAATGCACGTAGTAATAATGTCCGTTTCAGTTCGTACATCATAAAGTATATATATAATCAAAAAAGGTAAAAAAAAGGCGCCAAGTACACGCAATGTATTTTGTAAATTCAAAAATCCAACCTAAGTGGTAGCTTTATTTCTTTTTCACAAAATTATGTTACTTAACTCAAGTGAGTGCCAAGTTCTTTTACAAGAAAAATTTACTTATTTTATTTTAATTAAATATTTTTATTTTGTACCGTTACTTCTTTAATTCTTTATGATTAAAATAATTCTTTGTAATATTAAAAATTGATTCAGGAGAATTAAGAAGCTATTACCACTTGGGTTGGAATAGGAAGACCTTTGAATAGGAACACAAAGATACCACTTGGGTTTTATTTTTTAAAAGTAGTTGCACGACAATTATTTTTCAAAGCAATATACATATTCTCTTTGCAATTGGCGCAATTTAATTTAAAGATTTCACATCTTTTTTTGAAATACATGTCACTTGAGTTGAGTTAGGTAACATAATTTTGTGAAGAAGAAATAAAGCTATCACTTAGGTTGGATTTTTGAATTTACAAAATACATTGCGTGTACTTGGCACCTTTTTTTTACCTTTTTTGAAAAGGTAATTTTGTACTGATATCACGGATTTTGTAGTGTTAAGTAGAGATCGGCAAAAAATTTTCATTTTTTATTTTTTAATTATTCACGAAATTAGAAATAATAAATAAAATTTTTATTGAATTAGTAAATTAGTAATTAGTCACAAAAAATTACTATTTACATAAAAATTAATAATATTTAAATAAAAGTGAAATATAAATTACTTAAAGAATTGGTAATTTGTCAGAGAAAAATTTCTAGTTCGTGAAAGTTAGTATTTAGGTGAAAATGAATTAATTTTTTTTGCAAATTGGTAATTAGTAGAAATAAATTCTTTATTATTAAAATAATTAATAGTTTAGTTCAAAAATGAATTACTATTTATTTAAAGATTAATAATTAATGGAAAATAATTATTAATTTTTTCGATAATAAATAGACCACCCAAAAAAAAATATTCTGCCGATAAGTGGGGAATTCCTCTTAGCAGTTCCTCTAAGCAAAAAAAACATTATATGAAGAATATCCTTCTTTAAGTAATACGTATTACTTTATAAATGAGTGGATGCGTAAGCTATAATCAAGAGTAAATTCCTCTACAGTAAATTCAACTATTAGCCTCTTAAAATAAGAGGATATGCTAGATATTTGCGGCGCGCGCGTTAAAGTTAAAAGACGATCGTCTTATTAGCTACGCGATGCGTACGCTACCACACGAGACGCCCGTGTAGAAAGTTCAGCCCCTTGCACAATGCCAGGCAACAGGCAATAGGAACAGGAAATAATAAAAAATCGTTAATTACAACCTAAAATATTCGAATGTTATGATTTGTTGGCAACAGGCAATAGACACATAATTTCCAACGTGACGGAAACTCCTGTGTCTATTGCCTGTGTCACTGTTTATTCTGCATTTATATACATTGATTTCTGATTTTTATTCCCTGTTCCTATTGCCTGTTGTCTTTATTAAGAATGGCCTTATATAACATAAGTCCTCGATCATTAGTTATATATTAGGGATGCCATAAGAAAGATTTCCTTATTTTAACCTGATGAGGTCCCTATCATTATTTATTAGGGATTCCATAAGAAAGGTTTCCTTATTTTTATCTAATAAGGTCCTTGTAAGGATTTGATAAGGATGTTTTAACTTCATAAATACTTATTTATTAGGGCTAACCGGATAAGGTCCCGATCATTATTTATTAGGGATGCCATAAGAAACGTTTTCTTATTTTTGTCTATTGAGGCCCTTGTAAGGATTTGATAAGAATGTTTTAACGTTTTAACTTTATAAACATATTATTTTCATAAATATATTTACGAACACAAAATTTCATAATAAGCCGGCACTGGTTTCTGACATTCACCCGACATTAAGAAATATTATATCATATATCTTATATCCAATTCAAAATTTTATTACTCTTTTTAAACTGAATTTGTTTATTAAGATGATTTTTGGAAAATTATATATTTGCGCTGGTTATGTAGACAATATATAACACTTACATCAAATTAAGAAGTGGTCTACCATGTAAGGCAGTTGGCTCACGATCCAGAGGTCCCGAGTTCGATCCCACCAAGGTAAGTGTTTTTTCCAATACAAAAAAATATTTATAATCATAGACTACATCTTAAGAAACAAATTTAGTTATAAAATAGTAATAAAATTTCAAAATAAATAATTTTTTTTATTTATTTCGGGTGAATATCGGAAATCAATGTCCTCTAATATTAAGAGGATTGCACAATCTTGAATCTAGAGTCTCATGATTAGAGGATATTCCTCTACAGTTTAAAACATCTTCTTAAGGCCCTATTTCAGAGGAAAATCCTCTAGCATGAACCAGGAACCGCTAAACTGCAGAATATTTTTTTTTGGGTGACTAAATAGAATATTCGTAGTAAACGATGTTTTTTTTCCCCGAATAGTAATATTTACCCCCCAAAAATTTTTTTTGTAAAAAAGGACCATTTTTAAATAATTTTGTATGAGGGCCCCTTTTTTATTTATTTTTATTTTTATTTTTATTTTCTCACATTAATTTATTCTTCATCGACACCATCCTTGAAAATTAGGCAAATTTTGACACCGGTTTCCAGAAAATCGGTCCATTAATGAGTGAGTAGTTCGCAGTCAGACAGACAGACAGGCGAACATTAGAAAAATTTTAGAACCGGTTTTCCATAAAATTGATCTAAGTTAGAGAATCATGAGATAGTATACCAAATTTGGTTGTTCTAATTCGAAAACTGTAGATTTGCATAGCGGACAAACATGCATACATACATTCATTTATATATATATATATATATATATATATATA